TGACTCCCTCAACCTACTTCTTGACTATAAATTTCTGCATATTCCCATCTGCATTTGGATTTAAGTCTCCTCGCTCTCCCCTGTTGTGATAGTCTTGACACTTATCACAATAATCCTGATGAAACTTAACATGGTACTTAATAAGTGCCAAAATGTTATTTGTTCTAAATGATGAATCTGAGAGATTGTCATTTGCCCAAGCACAGCCTGATAGTGCTAGGAAGTGGAATTGAGATTCTAATCCAGGGAGGCTGCCTGAGAGTCTCAGTTCTCAAATACAAAGTTAGGTTGCTCTTGGGGAACAGGAAACTGGGCTGGGAAATCTACTGTGTCAACAGTATAAGACCCTCAAATTCAGCTCACATAGTACTTTCCTAATGTCAACTAGTCATAAGAGACACTGGGGCATGAGACACTTGGAAAATGAGATTCTGCCTATCAAGAGGGACATTCCTTCTCATGCTATCTAGTTTTTGCCGTCTGGAAATTCAAACCATCTGATTTTGAAATGGAAGTAAGGGAGAGATCTGGATTTTTATGAAATACCTATTCAATTCAAGAAAGAAAGAAAGAAACAAGAGAAAGGGAAAGGTGAAAGTAGAGAGGAGGAAAGGTCAAGGGAAGGAAAAACCACACAGGAGAGACAGACACACATACATGCACACCGTCTGCCAAAGAGATTCATTCAATCTAGAGGCTACCTGTCTGCAACCTCATTTTTGGAAGTTATTAAATGGTATCATACTGGAATCTCATTGGTGATAACGACTTGTCCTTCTTACTCTAAGCCACCAAGGATTTGCTCTTTTAAAATGTTCCATTTGTCTGACGCATTGAAGACAATAGATGTCTGCCATTTGGTGGGAGAGAGCAGAAGACAGTGGGGAGTCATTTCAGTGTTTGGGAGAGTCTCCCTGTATTCTTAGAGCAGCTGTGTTTGAGAGCAGTGTTGATTTCTTATCTACTAATAAACCAAGAGATTTCAAGTTAACAGGTGTTAGCCAAGCAATCTGGAGTTTTCTTCTTGATTCTTGAATTGATGGATAACTTCCCTTCTATTAGCAAAGCAAATAGAAGAAAACAAGCTTTCCAAGTGAAAATAATGCACTCAGTTGTGTGTGCGAAATGGAAGTAAACACAGTGACTTCTGAGAATTTGATGGAAGTGTCTTCGTTGAAGTCTTTCAACTTTCAGTTGCTGAACTTTGTGAGCTGTTCTTATTTTACAGTTCTACTTGGCAAACCGGATTTCTTGGCTCCAGGCATAAAATCCCAGAGACATGCTGTTCTCCTGGCTTTATGAGACCTAACAGCTTTCCTTAACAGGTGTCCAGTGTTCTTGGTTTTAATTGCTTAAATCTAGATTACAGAGACACGAAATTTAATAAATAAGGCACCACTATTTTGTTACTTCCCAAAACAATGCTCCTTTTTAATTGTGTTCTCAGTACTATTTCATGTCATGGGTTGAAATTTCCTATTAGTTTGGAGGGCTTTAATAATGGCCATTTTGGAAGGAAACAGGATCGATCGACAACTTTTTTTGCACAAAACCAGAACATTGACTATATCTCATGGAGTGAGCAGAAAAGAATCAATCAATTTCCTCCTGCTCTCCTGGGGCTGGCAGTATTTGTGGAGAAATAGGGCGTTTATACAAGTAACAATGGTTCAAAACAGTGCGTGAAAATCACAGTACAAAAGACTAAGGCAACCAACTTGTGAGAGTTTTTTTTTTTTTAAATACACTATGATTTGAAGGCTTCCAAAAGGAAATAGAATTTAAGCAGGGCATTGAAGATTGGTGGACTTTTTGAGGATGAGGAGGGCAGACAGTGGGAGGAAAGATATGATAACCCAAATGAGGCACAGCAAGTGATGGCAACAGAAAACTCTAGTAAGGAAAAATACAATAGAAACTTGGAGAAGTGACTTGAATAAGCAGAAAAAAGTCAAGATAGGGGATGGAGAACTAGTCCACGCAGTAATGTGAATAATGAAGTTAGACGGATAAACTGGTTTTCAAGAGAAATTAAGTTTGATTTATCATTAGATTTCACATGACAGTGGATCCACAAATAACATCAAGCCAAAATATAAAATGATGTATTTTCAGTCTCTGGGTCCAGCCAGATTTGACTTTGCCTTATTTTTACACTTTGTAGCCTGAGTTAAGATTGCATTATTTGTTATATTATGTATCATATGCAAAGAAGTAGGATTCTTGAGTGTTGGAGATAAAATGGTCCTTAGAAACCATGTAATCCATTTTGCCAATGAGCTAATTTGGGTCCAGAAAGAGCAAGTGATTAGCCTGAGGTTATATGGCCTATTCGTGAGAGATGATATCAACACACAATCTATCCATATGCCTTGATGTATAGTTTTCCATTCTTAAAAATGTTTATACATAGACATGAACATATTTTACATAAGTATGTACCTAGTGAGATTTTTTTTTAATTCAGCATCCCCTCACCTTTGGTGACCTCCCTCTCACCCACCTCTCTCCAACTCATCCCTCTCCTTTCATTTAGTACTTTATATATGTCATTCTAAATATTTTTGGAATTTATATACTCATACACACTCATTTGTGTGTTTGTGCATACATATGAAGTTTTTGAGATTATTGCTTTACAAAAATGGAAATGCATTCACTCTTTTCTGTACCTTGCTTTTCTCATTCAATCATGCCTTGGGGAAACCCTTGCCAAGTGAAAAGTTAGAGCCTAATTAGTGATTTATTTTAATAGGTGCTCATTCCTTTATGATATAAAGGACACACTGTGATACACCCTACTACTTTTCCTGTTCTGAGGGATCAGTTTGCTTCCAGTTTTTGCTTTTACAAATAGTACTTGACTAAACATATTTATCCTTATACCCATACGAGCTAGTGTTTTCATTTCTATTGATAGTGTTTGTTTTTCTGAGTCAAGGACACATGTATTTTTAGCTTTAAAAACTAAACTGCCTCCGTAAGATGACTGTAGCAATACACATTTTCATCTACAATTAATAAAATACTTTCTTTCACTAGATCACCCCAGGCCACAGTGTTATAAGCCTTTTTTTTTCTTTTTTTTATTCTGATGGGTGGGGGTACACTGTGGCATTTATAAAAGTTCTTATATCAAATATATCATGCCTGAATTCACCCCCTCCATCACTCTTCTTTATTCCCCCAACCCCATTCCTGGAACTGTTTCAACAGATCTCATTTTTCCATTTATGTGTACACAGTATTTGCACCATATTCACTCTCCTACCCCAATTCCCCACCTCTTCCCTCTCCCACTGGTACCAACCTCCCCAGACAGGACCTGTGATGCCCTCCTGTTCTCCAATTTTATAAAAGAAAAGAAAATAACATTTTTATTTGTTTAAGGTAGCCATACAGGCTACCTTATGAATTTCCATGTATATATGTATTATAACTGGAATTAATCTCCTCTATTTTTGTTTCTACCTAATCTCCTTCTTATGGTGGTTTCAATTGGTTTAAAAATTCTATATTCATTCTTGCATAGGAAGTACATCAACCATATTCACCTTCTTAACTTCCTCCTGTTACCTTCCCACTCTCGTATGTGACCTCCCCTTAGCATGACCTGTTTTTCATAATATTGCTGTATTTGTATTAATAAGCATTTTTCTTAAAGTGTTTGCAAGCACAATTGGTAAAAAGTAAAATCTCTTTGTTAATTTATTTTCATTGACTTGACACAAATGAATCTGACCATCTTTTCATAGGCTCATTGATTATTTGGATTTCTTTTCTCACAAGTTGTGTTTCATATTCTTTTATCTATTTTTTCCCATAGATCTTTTGGTTTCTTTGTAATTCTTAAGAGCTCTTGCTCCATTGTAGATATTTTTGCCTATCTTCCAAGTTTGCAACTTTTTCCTCAAATCAATTGTATTTTTATGTATTTTGTTAGGCAAAAGTTTTGAATTTCACTTAGCCATCATTTGTGTTCCTGTTATGATTTCTGTCTTGTCAAAAGCTGATTGCCCTAATCCTAGGTTATGTTCAGGGCCCCTAAATTTTCTTACAGAATTTTAAATTGTTTATTTTACATTTTAACCTCTGATCCATCTAAATCCATCCAGGATTTATTTTTGGAATTGGAAAAAGATAAAGATCTGGTTTTCTTTTCTTGCCGTTTACCAGCCTCTTATATTAAATAACCTATCATTTTACCACTAAATTGAAATGCCTCTTTTGTCATATATTAAATCCCCACTTATATTGGGATCTATTTCTTGATAATCTATTGCAGATACTCTACATCTGTTCAGATCTATTTCAGTACTTATTGATTTAATTACAACAGTTTTACAGGATTTTCAGATTTGTGGTAAATCAGATTACACAAATGAATTTTGAGATTGTTAGCAAATGTAGCCAGTTATATTAAAAACCTATTTGCTAGACAGCAGTGGGATACAAGCAGAAACTAATAAACCAAAATAATATTTATATAGTTTAAATATTTCTTCGGGGCTAGAGGCAAGGCTCAAATGGTAGAGTGCCTGCCTAGTAAGCAAGAGGCCCTGAGTTTAAAACCCAGTGCTGGCAAAATAAATAAACAAATAAATAATAAATAAATATATTTTTCAAAATCTTTCTTCCCAAGGTCAATTTTTCTTTATTGTTGTCCTGGGTGGGGGTACATTGTGGCATTTACAAAAGTTCTTACAATGTATCAAATGTATCATACTTGCCTTCACTCTCTCCATCATCCTCCAGAAGGGGACTAAGGAAGAAAGAAGATATAGATGAACAAATTTGGGTTATAATATATATATATATAATATATATATATATACACTTGGAAATATCACAAAGAAACTCCCTGTGTAGTTATCTTAAGCAAACAAAAATGTCAATTTTTTTCTTTTACAAAATCAGAGAATAGGAGGGTGAATAGGTCCTGTCTGGCAGAGGAGAGGGTAATACAAAGGTCAATTTTTAGGTCAACTGATTTGAGAAGAAAAGAGCAACTCGGTGTAGTTTTCCACCCTTAAGTGGTATGTCATTTTAATGGTACTGTTTCCTTAATCCCCAGGCTGGTTCTTCAGAGGACTTGTCCCTGACTGTGTCTCCACCCTGAGCTCAGACTGCTGCCCAGTGGGGACACCCCTGGAGGAAGACCTGTGGTGTGTCCTTGGAGAGAAACTCCATGGGGACTGTACCTGATCCTCTGAGATCAACTAAAACCTCCCTAATTGCAGCTTCTGGAAAAGAAGAGGCTGGAGGAGGGCTGCAGGCCCCTCAGCACCGACTAACTCAACTGGGCAAGAATGCCAACGGCCTTGCAGGCAACCTACCAAACCTTAACCCCAGCACAAAAACTAAGGCCCTGACGCACACTTGTGAGCATGAGACCCCACAGCTCGACATGTCTTCTCCCTGTGTGCTCAAGGAGGTGGAGAAAGCATCTCTCACACACAACTCTCCCAGTGAGTCCCAGTTACCAGGAAGCAGTGAGCCCACAGGAGCAGCACCAAGTCCTATAGCAGGAAAGAACCTTACACACACCCCATTTACAATGCCAGCTGGTCAGTACACCCAGGCCATCCCAGGCGATCAGCCTAACAACAGCACCTCATCAGTACCTGAAGATCCCTTGGGGAGATCACGGAGAAACTCATATGGAGAGAAGTCAAGGGGTCCTGCAGGGAGCACCTGTGGCAGCAGCAAAGATCAAACGTCCTATAACTTTACTTCTCAAGAAGAAGTCCAGGAAATGACACAGACTCCAAATACAGCAGCTGGGGTGTTTGGTCATTCATTGTCTCCTGTAGGTGACTCTGAAGAGGAAAGGCAGCAAGCGATATGTAGCTCCACAACAAGGTCCTGTGAGCCTCCAGAAAGACAAGATGAATGTTCAGAGAATAAACAGACCTCTGCCTCTGCCTCAGGTGTAATATCTGAGATGCCTCAGCAGCCCCACCTCCTTAGGGAAGGTTTGACATGTCCTCCAGATCCAGAGAAGGTGCCCTTGCCAGTCCAGCATCAGGTGTCAAAGTTCAAAGAAGCTAGTACTATGACCAACCAATCTGCAGGTGAGATCAAGGAAGCCCCTAGCAGGGCTCAGCAAGACGCCGAGGTGCAGGCAGTAGCCAGTGTGGAGAGCAGGTCAGTCTCCACCAGCCCCAGCATCCTCACTGCATTCTTAAAGGAGATCCCTGGCTCTGAGCGTCTGGAACAGCAGGAGCAGCTGCGTGTCATTTGCCATGGCCGTGGCAGTGGGAGTCACGTGCTGGAGTTGTCTAACAGCACGCTAGCCCCCCAGGAGTCAGGGCAGTGCCCCAATATCATGCCACAGGTGCACATCCAGACAGCTGCAGCTGTTCCTGCAGCTTTCCAAGGGGCAGGTAAACCAGAGAGCCAACCAGAGGAAGTCTTTAAAACCTCATCAGTCAACATGGCCTCCAGTCATGTCCAGGATACATGTAAAGAAGCAAGACCATCAGCAGCTGTCACTCCAGCCAGGGAAGAGCCACCATCGACACAGCTTTCATGGGCTAATTCCAGCTCCCAGAAAGCTAGCCCCATTGACCAGATTTCTATCAGTGCAAGCAATCAAGCTGAAACAAGTCATGAACCCAAGCCCTTTGGAGCAAAAACCACAAATGACCACAAAACAGAGGCAGATGACAAATTATCCATCACCTATAGCTCTGCTTATAAAGATGGCCAGTCTGTGAACTTGGACTCCACTAATAAAGGAGGTGCAAAGGAAAGAAAGCCTGCATCTCCCCAGATAGGAAGAGAGCAAGAATCTACTGACACCCTGGATGCCAAACCCCTACTGCTTACTCCTAAATCTCAAGAAAATGGAGGCACAGGATCAGCTGCTAGTCCCACACCCTCCCCAGTAAGGAAGAACCAGGAGAGTGTCTTAGAAGAAAATCGACAGAGCAAGACAGCCACAAGCCTGAGCCTCCCATCCGATGCCATGGGGGACTCCAGCCCAGGGTCTGGCAAGAGGACCCCTTCTCGGTCAGTCAAAGCCAGTCCACGCCGGGCCAGCAGGGTCAGCGAGTTCCTCAAGGAGCTAAATGTGACAGCAGCTGCTGCTCAGGTGGGGCTCACCCCAAGTGAGAAGAAGAAACAGCTGGGTGCAGACTCCAAACTCCAGCTGAAGCAGTCCAAGCGTGTCAAGGATGTCGTATGGGATGAGCAGGGCATGACCTGGGAAGTGTATGGTGCTTCCTTGGACCCAGAATCCCTGGGAATCGCCATCCAGAACCATTTACAAAGGCAAATTAGGGAACATGAGAAATTAACCAAAACCCGAAGGTCCATTTCCTCAGACACTTCTTCAAATAAGAAGCTCAAAGGCAGGCAGCCCAGTGTTTTCCAGTCCGTGCTACAGAACTTCCGACGCCCCAACTGCTGTGTCCGGCCAGCTCCTTCTTCCGTGTTAGATTAAAAGGGGAGGTGTATGGGAGTCTCTGTATGCATTTATGGTATTCCTACGGATTGGTCTATGTGATGCTCACTTAGTTTTTTTCCCTCTGGGAAACCAGGAAGAAAAAGCAAGTATTAACTATAGGAAATTGCTGTTAAAAATTGTTGGGTCCTTTGAAATGCCATTTTGGTCTGAAAGAGAGAACAAGAGAAGAGAAGCAAGCTTCACAGAAGGTTTGTAATCTTCATTAAACAGGAATAATATTCACTGGGTTTTTTTTTTAAATATGTTGCTTATAGAGATAATATTGCCACTCTATATGTATCATTTTGTATCACTGCCTCAGTTTACCACATGATTTCCATTAAAGTCTCTGCTTTATATTAACAATAGCAAAAACACTATTAGCAAAAACACTGTTAAAATTTTTAGTCCTATTGAAATAAAAAATGTTGTCACCACAAAAAATGTATGTACGTGATAAGAACCATCGTGCAAAAAATTAAAAATTTGACTCATTACTAGACTACAATACATTCAATGAAAGAGTTTCAATGTGTAAGATACCAAATGTGAATTCATATTTGTAAACATCTGCAGATAACTCATTTTAGAAACATTGATATAGCTGTTAATAAATACCGGAAAGTTACATTAGGAAAATCAGCTAATATTGATATCAAACATGGATTTATATATACACATTTTCATGCACTGAAGGCAAAGTGCATCTGAGTGATTCTGACTGGATTCTTGAAAAGAGTCATCAAACTAGGGATGATAGTAAATTATAGGTTGGATATGTATTCTCCAAATAAAACTCTCATGAGAACACTTAGGTCCTGAAAAGGAATTATACATAGCAAATTACTGGTGTTTCTCCTGTGTTGATAAAAGGAAGGGCTCATGAGTAATAAAAACATTATGTTTAATCTAGACTCCTACAAATGCAAATCTTTTTATTTGGTTCAAATGTAGTAAACAGCAAATGGAATACATGAGTCCTTATATATAGACTAATATCATCTGACTGCTTAAGTCTATCATCTGAAGTAAAAATGTAATTTCTGAAAACTTAACTTTAAGAAAAATACCATCATATTTCAAGCTTTAAACCCAGCAAAAAGAAGAAACCTTTATGAAATCATGGCTTGAGATTTGAGTAGGCATGTCCCTTGAGAACGCAGCCACCTGCTTGAACTCACTATAGTTGGGGTAGTGTAGAAAGGGGGAACAAGCTGGGGAGACTTTCCTTTCGGGACTCAATATAGGGAGAACATTACATTTAGAAAATCAGACTGTTAGATTTAGGAGTGTTAGTTGACTTCTCTGTACTCATCCCCCCTTGTGAACCAGAAAACAGTATATGACCATGTATTCTTTCAGACTCAAATGCTGTGTTACAGTCAATTCATGGTATCTATTTTGTTTTTTTCTCCTTATTTCTATTTTACAGATTCTGAACATGAAGAAAAAAATCATATCTAAATGTTGATACCATAGGGCACAACCTAAATTAGTAAAAACGCCTTAATTTCTTTCAAATCAATTTAATTATATATATAGCCTGCAAAGGTAGACAGCCTTCTCAGAGCCTGAGAATGGTAATTACAGTTGTTATAGTTGGAATTTATAATGAATTTTTAACAGGCACATTTTTTGGTTTCTTTCTAATTGGCCTCTATTAAGAATGTTATCTAAAGTAGAAATTACCATCAAATTGCTATTATTGATTAGGGATTTAGTCTAAAACTCTCTCTTTTGGTCTTAAATACCCAGTTGTCTCTGATGCCTTTGCCAAGATTGTGATGTATCTCCTGTGACTCACTCGCTGGCTGGCTGTCACACATCAGCGCACATGCTGTGCATAAACAAAGTATACCCTGAGCAGCTATCTACAGGGTCCACTCCAGATGGGTGGGGCCCAGGTAATTGTCTCCTGGAAAATACCTAGAATAGCCTGTTACTGCATTAAAATAGGTGAAAAGAAAGAATTCAGCATCCAGCAATTATATCTGTTTTCATGAGTTTAGATTAACCACGTGACATATAAGTAGTTAAATGAAGCTGAGGCCTAAGATCGTTATAGGCAATAGTCCCACATTAAATAAATCAAAACTATTCAATTCCAGTATTTTAGTTGCTCCTCTCAAATTAAGACTTCAAGAAAAAAATGTTTGATACAGCAAGTTTGTTTTTCTTTGGTGCTAGAACTAAATTCTACAACACTCTAGAAACTCACAAAATAGTACAAAATCTTTCTTGCTTTGTTGCTTCTTGAATCTTACAAAACTAACAGTTTTAAAAACAGTAGCAAAAATCCATCACCGAATATATAAATAAGATAGAAGCCTATTCAAGACACTGTCTTTATATTATGATACCTACCCTAAACTACTCTCTTGATAAAGTTTTATTTGAAGTTTCTCCTCCACATCAATTTATGACACAGCTTTAGACATTTATTACATCATTTGGGACTCCTTGTATCCATTCAGTAGAGGAAGTTGCAAAAGTATTTTCTGAGCAGACTGAATTTGCTGGGTTATTATTTGCTTTACCTGCATCACATACACTGGGCTGAAAGTTTGTGTTTGTTCTTAATTTCTTTTACATAGGATTTAGGCTTTTTAAATAAATGTTAGGATTTGAAATAGAGATAGGAAATACTTTATTAAACCAAGAAATAGAAAAGATTTCTTAAGTCAGTAATAAAGGAAGTGAGTTAGAACTCAGTGTTTGGGAGATCACTCAACATTTAAAATGTGAAGATGCTTGGTCACTTACTGAGTGAACATGAGAATTTTTTTAAATTGTTCTATTTTTATGACCACAAGAAACATCCTAGCTTCTGCTGTCATATGTTTATCTTGAGTGCTTTTTGAATTACATCTTTTTTGGATTATTGGGTTTTGATGGCACAGACCACCTACTTTACATACAGTAAAATCCAGATTGACCTTTCTGTTTTAGATCAGTGGTGTAAGTGGAACATTTTAAGTCAAGGTTAACCAGAAATCTCATGCGTGTGTGTGCACACAACCAAAATGAAATATTTATAAAGCATATTACTATGTTTTCCTACCTTAACAAGTTCAGCTATCTTGAATGTAATTTGATCTTTGATATCCATTTATCTTGATAATCATCTGATACTCATTATTTTGGATACCAGTATTGTCCGTGTTATAGGTTAAACATCAAAACTGAAATAAATCAGAACTGAGTAGACATATATAATATGCATATACCCTGGAGGTTGGATTTTGAAACCAAATCCTTAATAGGAGCTTGCTGTCTTAAGGCAGAAAGCAGAAGGGGAAAATGTTACTTGGTTTTATCTCAGCACATTGGGGTTTTATTGTCCCTAGCTTATTCTGATGTTGTTCCACTCATTTGGGGGATCCCTATCATTCTGGGAGTAGCTGTATAAACCACGCCAAGAAGGGAATACAATGTGACTTTAAAATTTGTTTGTAGGGATTATATAGGAGTGTGCTGTTAATGTCAATTGTCTGGCCTTTGCTGTATTCCCTCTGTTACTGTTTTGCTGCCAAAGTATGAGAAATTGTTGTCTTCTTTTCCTCCTACATATTGTGCAGGTGTAAAAAAATGTCCACTTCTAATACTACATAATTCACTATATCCCTTGTCCCCTTTTGCAGAATCCATATAAAAAAAAAACCAATACATTAGAATAAGGTTTGCATATATGTGTATGTGTTTGTATTGCAAATGGGACAACCATAGCCTTGTGTACACCTCTACCTGCCTGACTTACTAATTATCTACAGTTCTGCAATGGAGATGAGGCCGTTTACTTCCCTCTGCTTTGTCCTAAGTGGTGTTTGAGAAGTGAAGCCTGTGAATTTCCCCCTGTGGTAGTAACACAATGAACTCAGCAGTATCTTGAATAAGTAAGCTGACTACCTTGTCTCCATCCCTGTTTTGTCTACACAGTGAATCAGAAGTCTTATCCCCGTCTATTTCAGTGTCTGCTGCTTCACAATTAGATGTGAGATTTTTGTTCCTGTTAGCCGTGTTCCTTGATGCAGTATGTGGACTTTTTGGTTGATTTTCTCCAAATGCAGGTTAACTGCTACCCCTGGCAAATAACAGGCTGAATCTCCTGCCCATCCTTGCAACTATATCCTTCTTAATGAAATTCTGCAACTGGCTGATTATGATAACTGTCACCTGTGCAGACATATGGACTTGGGAATGACTAAAGGATTTTGAACATTTCTTTTTCAAAATTCTCTTGTAAATACAGAAACAGATCTCCAGGAACTTTATCTTTCTCTCAAAAACAAAATTCTCCATGGATACAAAAATCAAATAATCTTGGTTTGCAATGACCAAGGACACAAATGAAGATGAATTGAAGTGGAAAAATACTGTCTCACAAGCAATCAGTGACATCTATCTGCCAAGGTCATTACAGCTACTTTTAACTGTGAACACTCACCAGCTGAACTACTCACTTGCCACAACCAAATAACCTCTCTTAAAGTAAATCCTATAAGTCTGTATATGTGTGTATAGAGAAACAACAACAACAAAAAAAATCCTGAAACATTACTTTTGGCATTTAGGAAAATCAAGGTGAGAGTTACAAAGGACATTCAAATAACCATGGGACCTTGTGAAAAGACTGTAGAGGCCAGAATGGTGCAACAAGATGTTCTTTACAAGTTCTTTTTTTTTTTTCAAGACCCAGATATCTCAGATACTAATCATGAGAATAAAGACTGTTGACTATGAAATTAAAGCCAAGCAATAAATGTGCCAAAAAAAAGAGGCAGTTATACCAGCAAGTGCACCTACTATGGACACACCATTACATAATTATGGTTTGCTCTGTGAAGACTGACTTAACTGTATCCCAGAGGATAAAAGAAGAAGAGGTATAATTTCTGCTTTCTTGGGGGGAAAATTTAAGTGCTCCATAAAGAAGTATATCACTGGTGAGCATGAGCACAGATACAGTTAACATTTCCATTTTCATGCTAGCCAAGATAGAAGAGGAGCCACTAAAACTCTTGCTGGCTTAAAACTCAAGAGAGCTCCAGCCCAAAACTTTGTCAAATGAAGGGGTTAAAATTACAGTAATTACTCTGCCTGGATACTAGCACATCAGAAAGCAATTCAGTTAACTCTTCCCTGAGGATTGCCAGCCTTAGGTATGAAAAATGGGCTCCCAAATATAGAATCACTAAAACATGAGTACTTGTCTCAATATGGGCCTCAAAAATGCCCTACAGAAAATGATGTTCTAGATGGTCATTTCTAAATACTAATTCTTCATCAGGTGTCTTTCCGGGTTCATGCTCGAAATTAATTGGCTGCAAAATAGTAGGAATTAAAATCA